CTCTTGACCTCGTGATCCACCCGCCTCGGCCTCCCAAAGTGCTGGGATTACAGGCGTGAGCCACCGCGCCCGGGCCTATATTTTCTTTAAGAAATGAAAAACTAAAAAGAAAATACCACTCAACATCGTTGGTATAGCAATAGGTCAGCAGGAAAAAAAAAATATTGTGATCAACTTGTCTCTTTAATACCAAGAAAAAATTCTACTCCAAGCTTCAATATGATTCCTGTATTTTCACTGTGTATTTCTTTTACTGCTGCTCTTCATTCTTTTCTGTATTTCATATTAGAGGATTGGTACAGCCTTTAAACTTCACTGACTGGAGCAAATCCAGTATCCGCTGATTTCTTCTCAAAGGCACTCTAACCCATCAGATAGCCCAGCAGTTTCATTCTCATGAATACTCTAGCCATGAAAAACATCAATAGGACATAGAGGAATCCAATGAATAGAAGAAGAAGTTTATTGAATTTTGGGATATTTGGTGCATTCCATTGGTCCGGGATTATGAAATCTAAACCTCCCATTGTAAACAGGAAGCTGAATGCAAGTCCTTCCATGATATATTGCCCATTTACTCTGTAGGCCAAGAAAGCTACTGGCCTCTGATGCCCACGTTCACCAGTCATAGAGCCAACACTTGGAGGTTCAACAATAACATCATAAATTATTCCTCCAGTGATGATGAAGTAAGACACCACCACCAGAGCATACACAGTCATGGCTGACGGCATGTACAGCCAGGGTGACTTCTTCAGCTTCAGGTTGGGACATTTGAGTACTAAGAACAGGATGCAGTACTAAGTCTCCACGTTGGTGGCAGCAAGCTAGCTATTAGTTTATTTATTTTGAGACAGAGTTTTGTTCCTCTTGCCCAGGCTGGAATGCAATGGCATGATCTCGGCTCACTGCAACCTCTGCCTCCCAGGTTCAAGCAATTCCGTGCCTCAGCCTCCTGAGTAGCTGGGATTACCAGAGCATACCACCATGCCTGGCTAACTTTTGTATTTTTAGTAGAGACGGGGTTTCACCATGTTGGTCAGGCTGGTCTTGAACTCTTGACCTCATGATTTACCCTCCTCAGCCTCCCAAAGTGTGGATTACAAATGTGAGCCACCACACCTGGCCTACATTTTATTTATTAATACCACATTTGTCTAGAGCCCAAAGAATCATGAAGTAAGGAAGTATTCTGAGTAGGAAAAACAGTTGACACCCTGCCTACAATGATTAGTATAAAAATATTTTGGAAGGCCGGGTGTGGTGGCTCACCCCTGTAACCCCAGCACTTTGTGAGGCCAAGGTGTGTGGATCACGAGGGCAAGAGTATAAGACCAGACAGGTCAAAATGATGAAACCTCATCTCTACTAAAAATACAAAAAAAATTAGCCAGGTGTGGTGGCGGGAGACTGTAATCCCAGCTACTCTGGAGGCTGAGGCAGAGAATTACTTGAACCAGGGAGGCAGAGGTTGCAGTGAGCCAAGACTGCGCCACTGCATTCCAGCCTGAGCAACAAAGTAAGATTCTGTCTCAAAAAAAAAAAAAAATGAGCTTGTAAGGAACCCTGGCAGCTACCATCAGCAGATTCCATCCATCCATCTGTCCATTATCCATTCACCCATTTGATACTGTATTCAAATGGAATCTGTACCTAGGGAGTTTATGTTCAAGTAATTAGCCAGGTATGGTAGCACGTGCCTTTAGTCCCAGCTATTTGGGAGGTTGAGGCAGGAGAATCACTTGAACCTGGCGGGTGAAGGTTGCAGTGAGAGATTGTGCTACTGCACTCCACGCTGGGTGACAGAGAGAGACTCCATCTTAAAAAAAAACAGAAAACTCTGTGTGTGTGTGTGTGTGTGTGTGTGTGTGTGTGTGTGTGTGTGTGTGTAAAATGTAGTACCATTTTAAAAACTAAAGTCCATGAAAGGCTAAGGCTTACAGTGGCTCATACCTACAATCCCAGCATTTTGGGAGCCCAAGGTGTGAGAATCACTTGAGCCCAGGATTTCAAGACCAACCTGGGCAACATAGCAAGACATCATCTCTACTAAAATTAAAAACAAAAACA